ATCAGCAACTTAAGACAATTATGTATATATATATACAGACTGCTACACAAAATCCTCAAGGTAACTACAAGCCAAAAATCTAAAATTGATCTACACACAAAAGAGAAAAAGGAATCCAAGCATAACACTAAAGACAGTCATCAAATCACAAAAGAAAAGGGGGAAAAAAGGCAGTAAGAACATATATCAATAATTAAGCTAAACGTCAACAGACTAAATGCTCCAACCAAAAGACAGACTGGCTGAACGGATACAAAAACAAGACCTGTATATTTGCTGCCCATAAGAGACTCACTTCAGATCTAGAAACACATAGAGACAGAAAGTGAAGGGATGGAAACGGTATTCCATGTAAATGGAAATCAAAAGAAAGCTTGAGCAGCAATACTTAAATCAGACAGACTTTAAAATAAAGACTGTTATGAGACAAAGGACACTACATAATGATCAAGGGATCAATCCAAGAAGATGTAACAACTGAAAATGTACATGCACCCAACATAGGAGCACCTCAGTATACAAGTCAAACATTGACAGACGTAAAAGAGAAATTGACAGTAATACAACAAGAGTAGGGGACTTTAACACCCCACTGGCATCAATGGACAGATCATCACAGTAAGGAAACACAGGCCTTATATAACACATTAGACCAAATGACTTAATATTAATAGAGCTTTCTACTCAAAGCAGAATACACATTCTTATCTTTCCTTTTATTTTTTTTTACATTCTTTTCAAGTGGAAGATTCTCCAGGATGGATCATACGGGAGGCCACAAAACAAGCCTCAGCAATCTTAAGAAAACTGAAATCATATCAAGCATCTTTTCCCATCACAATGTTATGAAAGTAGAAATCAACTACAAGAGAAAAAGCTGCAAAAAAACACAAACATGTGGAGGCTAAACCATTTGCTACTAAATGACCAATGGATCACTGAACAAATCAAAGAGGAAATCCAAAAAATACCTAAAGACAAATGAAAATGGAAACATGACTATCTAAAACCTTTGGGAGGCAGCAAAAGCAGTTCTAAGAGAGAAGTTTATAGTGATATAAGCTTACCTCAGGAAACAAGAAAAATTTCAAACCACCTAACCTTACACCTAAAGCAACTAGAGAAAGAACAAAACTTCAAGTTAGTAGAAGAAATCATAAAGATTAGAGCAGAAACAAATGAAAGACTTAAAAACAACAGAAAAGATCAATGAAACTAAAAGCTGTTTTTTTTTGAAAAGATAAACAACATTGATAAACCTTTAGCTAGACTCATCAAGAAAAAGAGGGGGAGGGCCCAAGTTAATAAAATCAGAAATGTATAAGACTTAGGTAAAACTGAAATCACAGAAATACAAAGGACCATTAAGAGACTACTATGAGCAACTATACACCAATAAAATGGACAACCTAGAAGAAATGGACAAATTCTTAGAAAGGTACAATCTCCCAAGACTTAAACAGGAAGAAAGAGAAAATGTGAGCAGACCAATTATCAGCACTGAAATTGCATCAGTAATTTAAAAAATCCCAACAGACAAAAGTCTAGGACCAGATGGCTTCACAGGCAAATTTTACTATTTAGAGAAGAGTTAACACCTATCTTTCTCAAACTATTCCAAAAAATTGCAGAGGAAGGAACACTTCTAAACTCCTTTTATGAGACCACCATCACCCTGATACCAAAACTAGACATAGATATTACAAAAAAGAGAAAATTACAGGCCAATATTACTGATGGACATAGATGCAAAAAATTGTCATGGTAAAAAGCTGAAAGCATTCCCTCTAAGACAGGAACAAGACAAGGATGCCCACTCTCACCACTTTTATGCAACATAGTTTTGAAAGTCCTAGCCACAGCAATCAGAGAAGAAAAAGAAAAGGAATCCAAAATAGAAAAAAGTAAAACTGTTACTGCTAACAGATGACATGATACTATACAAAGAAAATCCTAAAGGCACCACCAGAAAACTACAGTTCATCAATGAATTTGGTTAAGTTGCAGGATAAAAATTTGATACACAGAAATCTGTTGCATTTCTATACACTAATGACAAAATAAAAGAGAATTTAAGGAAACAATCCATTTACCATCTCATTAAAAAGAATAAAATATCTAGGAATAAACCTACCTAAGGAGGCAGAAGACCTGCACTCTGAAAACAGTAAGATGCTGATAAAAGAAACTGAAGATAATACAAACTTATGGAAAGATACTGTGTCCTTGAACTGGAAGAGTCAATATTGTTAAAATGACCATACTACTCCAAGGCAATTTACAGATTCAATGCAATCACTATTAAATACCAATGTTATTTTTCATAGAATTGAAGCAAAAAAATTAAAATTTATATAAGAAACACAAAAGACTCTTAACGGCCAAAACAATCCTGAGAAAGAAAAAAGGAGCCGGGAAGAATCACATGCCTTGACTTCAGACTATACTACAGAACTATAGTAATCAAAACAGTATGGTACTGGCACAAAAACAAACGCATAGACCAATGGAACAGGATAGAAAGCCCAGAAGTAAACCCATGCACTTATGATTAATTAATATACAACAAAGGAGGCAAGAATATACAATGGAGAAAAGACAGTCTCTTCAATAAGTGGTGCTGGGAAAACTGGGCAGGTACATGAATGAAATGAGAATATTCTCCAACACCATATGCAAAATCAAACTCAAAATGGATTAAAGACCTAAATGTAAGACTGGATACTATAAAACTCTTAGAGGAAAACAGACAGGACACTGGCATAAATTGCGGCATTATTTTCTTGGCCCTGTCTTCTAGAGTGATGGAAACAAAAGCAAAAATAAACAAATGGGACCTAATTAAACTTAAAAGCTTTTGCACAGCAAAGGAAATTATAAACAAAACGAAAAGACAACCTATGGAATGGGAGAAAATATTTGCAAACAATGCAACCAACAAGGAATCAACTTCCAAAATAATACAAACAGCTCATACAGCTCAATAAACAACAACAACAGCAAAACCCAACAAAAAACCACCTAATCAAAAAATTGGCAGAAGATCTAAAAAGATAGCTCTCCAGAGACACACAGATGGCCAACAGGCACATGAAAAGATGCTCAACATCACTAATTATTAGAAAAATCCAAATCAAACCCATAATGAGGTATCACCTCAAACCAGCCAGAATGGCCAACATTAAAAAGTCCACAAATGATAAATGCTGGAGAGGGTGTGGAGCAAAAGGAACCCTTCTACACTGTTGGTGGGAGTGTAAACTGGTGCAGCCACTACAGGGAACACCATGGAAGTTCCTTAAAAACCTAAAAATGGAGCTATCATATGATCTGGCAATATCATTTCTGGGCATACATCAGGAGAAAACTAACTCAAAAAGACCCATGCACTCTAATTTTCATAGCAGTACTATTTACAATATTCAAGATATGGAAGCAACCTAAACGTCCATTGACCAATGAATGGATAAAAAATTTGTGGTGTATGTATACCGTGGAATACTACTCAGCCATAAAAAATGAAGTGTCACTTGCAGCAACATGGATAGACCTAGAGATTATTATACCAAGTGAAGTAAGTCAGAAAGAGAAAGACAAATATCATATGACATCACTTATATGTGGAATACAAAAAATGATAACAAATGAACTTATTTACAAGACAGAAATAGACTCAGAGACACAAAACAAACTTAGTTACCAAAGGGGGAAAGGGGGAGGGGAGGGATAAATTAGGAGTTTGGAATTAGCAGATACAAACTACTGTATACAAAACAGATAAACAACAAGGTCCTACTGTATATAGCACAGGGAACTACATTCAGTATCTTGTAATAAGCTATAATGGAAAAGAATCTGAAAAAAATATGTATTTAACTGCATCAATTAGCTGTACAGCAGAAACTAACACAACATTGTAAATCAACTATACTTCAATTAAAAACGAACACACACACACACACACACACACAACCTAAAGCACCAAATTAACTCTAAGCAAAAAAGAGACGGACAATACTGTAACTATGCACCTAGAAAAAGAAACAAAAAAGAAAAACAGTAATCCAAAGTTTCTGGTGAGGAAAATGAAGAAACCATGTTTTGAAACTAGAGAGGTAGTCCAGGAACCAAAGGCAAGGATCAGCAGGAAAAAGAGGGTACCTGAAATGGCTGTTGGGAAATTCCTGCTTCAGGCCTCAGTCATCCCACTGGTTAACCTCTAGTCATCAGCAAGAAGCATCTAGTGAACTTCTGAAGAGGTAGACTCAAAACCAGTCTTGATGTTGTCTCTTTCCCCCAGTACTTCTTACCTCATCTCTCAAGTCAACCTCTGGTTCTACTCTTGGGTCCTATTCTCGACAGCCTAATTGTTGGAGTGCATGGACTTCTACCCCTTTTTGGCCACACCTTCTGCTCCTGGTCCTGATCTTCATTGGATCGTCCCTGAACCTCCACTTCCACCTACCTTGACTGCCATGCCTCCCATGGACAGTTTTAGTCCCACCTGGCCCCAAATTCAAAAATCTTATCTGCTCATCCTCTGCTACTCTAAAATGCTAGATGCCGCATTTGACCACATGCCTGGGAACTATTGTGTCTAACCTAGTCCTGACTGAAATCTAAGCACAGCACTTGTTCTGTTTAGGCAGACCCTGAAGTCTTTATGGTTTTCTTGAGTCTGTTCAGCTTGAAAATTCACTCAATTTCCACTGGCCATACCTCTTTCCAATCTAGAAATCCAACTTTTATCAGCATCACTGGCCAGCCTGTCTTAGTCCAAACTTCAACTCTTGGTGGAGGGGGAGGGGGAGGGAGGATGATCAACCACTATTATTGACTCCTGGGAGCAAGAAGTAATCTGTTGAGAACAATTGTAAGTCCAGTACACGGGAACGCCCAGATAGAAGTAAGCTAAGTGAGTACAACCGTTAGCATTCTGAACCTTATTAGTTCAAAAGGCACAAAACTGTTTGAATGGGCTTGAAAGTGAGCGTGTTTACCTTGTGAGAATCTTTCCCCCTGGCGACTGAAGAGCAGAGGCTTCAGGGCCATCATGTTCCAATTCTGAGGCTTCCCTGGCAACACCCCAAGTCCAAGATAACCAGGATAGAGCTCTGGAAACCATTCCAGTCCTAGAGAGCTCGACAGGGTCTTCTGGTTGGTGACACTGATCTGACCGGCAGAGGAGCTTGTAGAAGCGTGATGCTGGGTGGAATATGAAGACTGCTGGTCCCTAAAGTGCAATGCTTGGGGCTGACAGCCCAATTCGGGTGCCAGAGATGCTTGTTCCTCTCTCTTCATCAATGCCTTTACAGCGGAGACTGGATTATGACTGCAGGCTTCTGCTTTCTCTTCCTGGAGAAATTTTACAGCCAGAGAAGGAAGACTTTGATTGTGTGACCGTGATACAGAAAGAAGCTCATTTTGAGTTGTCTCTGCTGGTGTGAACAGGTTTAAACTGGGACGTTCATCTTGAAATTTCTTCTCCGTGACTGAATTGGTACTAAAGGCCTTCTTAGAGTCATCGCTCATGGAAGAGCATTCCTCCATCTCTGTCACAAATACACTGTTCTCTGCATTCTCTTTGCCTCCACATGCTTCTGCTCCAAGGTTAAGTCCTTTTCCCTGGTTCTCCATGACCTGGATTTGACCTAATGGGTTAATTTTAAAAGCTGCAACTTGTGATCCTGTGTTCTTTCCCTGAGCCCCCGAGTCCTTAACATCAGCATACACTTCAGAGCGCTGATTCCTGGCCTTGGAATTTCTCTCACTGCCTGATGATGATGTGTTTACCCTTTTGACTGCATAACTGAGATTCATGGGAGAACTATGATAATCATCAGACGTATCTAGTAATTTTACTAGAAGGTTCTGTCTTGGGGAATCAATCTTATCCAATCTTAAATCAGCAGAAGTGGCTTGTACATCATTAGGGAAGACGGAAGAATATTTGCTGTCTTGATTTGACAATGAAGGTTCCATTGGGCCAAGAGATAAAGTTGCTTCAGTTTCTGAAGGATCATTTCTACTTTTCCCTGATTTAGGCAAATCTTTGGCAAGTCCTTTTTTAGGCGTGGTGTTCCCTGATGCAGAAAACTGAGCTGTAGTTTCTCCCTGGAGAGTAATCTTTGGTTCAGTATTTTTTAACATTTTGAAGGAGGGTTGAATTTGATTCTTGATGGCTTTACTGGCCTTTGTACTACTTGCTTTTTCCAAACCAACGGCTAGTAGTGGAGAGGACTTCACTGTCTGTTCTGATTTGTCTCCTTTCAATTCAGGATTTCTTTTCTCACTGTCTGTCCCTAGCCCTCTCTCTTTAGCTTTAATTAGGCCTCTGATTGGTCCTTTGATTTTCTTAGCATGTGGGAGTGTAGCTGGCTTGGGCTGACAAACCTCTCCATCAGCAGGTATAGCTGGTTCTCTCATCTTACAGTGCGGCAAGTGGGATTTCAGTCGTTTAAATGGCTTCTTACAGTAAGGACACACTTCCATTCTGGGTGGAGTATCACTCTCCTATCCCTGAAAGAGACAATTGTGAGGTTATGAAGGATACTGTTTGTAAATACCAATATTGTTTGGGTTGTATCTTTTAAAGTCATTTGAAAGAACCTAGGTTGCAGGACATTTAAAAAAAAATCTGTTTTGATCCATTCTTTTTCTTCCATAGGTAGAAAACTGAAATAATTGGATTTTGAGATCAACATTCCTGGCTCCATTTCTGCTTGGTATTTCACATTTCTTAAAGTCTTCAAACCCTTAAACACATCATTCAAGGGAAGAATGGTGAAGAATAAAAAACTCAGGCTGGGATTCCAAGGTGGTTGATTATAGAGTAGTGGTTTCCAAGGTGATATATGGAATGTTCATTGAGGGTACAAGAAAATACTGGAAATTCCTTTCCCTAAGCAAGAAAAATGAAGCTCTACTAACATTTAACACATCAGTAATATGCACCTGTATACACATATGCAGAAGTACTGACATTGTACAAAGAATACATGAATGGAGGGGAGACTGGGTCCCAAATTTTTTACTGATAGTTTGTAGTACAATGGATTAATGGCAAATTTATTAACATCTTTGTGAAACTTATACCATGTAAAAATATTTTTAAAAATTTATACCATGTACCACTTGTGCCTTTTTGTTATTTGCTCCAGTCAGGAAAAGGAAATATTTAATTGCAAAGCTCAGATGGAAGTTATTTCTTTGTTTACATTTCCTGTTCTGTCAGACCCCCTGTGCACAGCTGTATTCACAAAACCAAACACTGGGCCTGGCATCTACTTGCTGAATGAATTTTCTCTGGACATAAATGCGCAAACACTATCATTATAAAGTACTGTGACTGTGAGTATCTTCTGACCGCTAAATGGGTCAAAAAGTGAACCTTCAAAACCATTTACAGGGGGAGGAAGAATACAGCTTAAGTATTAGAGTGCATGCTTAGCATGCACAAGGTTCTGGGTTCAATCTCCAGTACCGCCTCTGAAAATAAATCCAATTACTACCCACCTCCCAAATTTACGAAATAAATTTCATTTGTCATAGTAACCAGCCTACCTTATCCTACACAATGTCAGGCAAAACAAAAATGTTTTTAGCCAATAGACTTTACAGGAATTATTCTTACTTTGGAGGCACTTCTTTGACAATATATGTTATGGGCTGTTTATTTACAAAACTACACATAACTGAAGCCAGTCCATGGGCCTTAGGCTAATAATTGTAGAAGCGGTTTGAGTCCTCTGTTAACCGTGTCTGCCTCCACAGTACTTCATCCTCACTTTTAATCCTACTGGAAAGATTTCTGTTTAGACACTGAGCAGGTTATCCTTGGTGAAAGGCACTGGGAAGATTTCGCTCAGTTTAGACACTGAGTGGTTTCATCTTCAGTTGAAAGACTGGGAAGACTTTGTTCAGTTGGAAGAACTCTGAGTAGGGTCGGACTGTGTAATTAGGTGGAAGACTGACCTGTCATTTTGCCTTGAATTAGCTACTTTAATAGAGTTTGTTAACATGAAACTGAAATGTTAGAGCTTTTCAGATCCGAAGAAGGGATCTCCTTTCGGCCGGCAAGCGCTTTCTCAGGCGGCTGAGAAACTTGCGAGAATGGTGGAGGCAAGTCCTTGTACTGTGCAGCTGTCCCCGCAGGGAGAGCCACTCATTTTCATTAAAGCTTGCTTGTTCTGCTGGAGACATGGATGAGAACCGGCCATTCAGAGATCTGTGCACCCATGGTGGTCTTACGCTACCAGATGGAGAAGCCGAGACTCTGAAGAGGGAGCAGAAACGACTCTAGGGTAAAACTTGGAGGAATTGAGCTCACAGGCAGCACGCTGGCCCACCACACAACCGCACTAGCAATTTTATTTTGACAAACCGAACTCTGAATGGGGAATAAAGCTTTCAGAACAAAAGAAAAAGAACGACAGATGGTCAGCCTCAAGACCCCAGCCAGGCTTATGCATGTACGATACTTACACTTACCAAGTACTCACTTAATTGGGAATTAAAGGAAATTTTGCCCTAAAATTAACTAAGACGGGGCTCTTTTACTGCTTACAGACTGGGATTCTTAGCAGTCTTGTCTGGCTGTGCCATCTCTCGGGGCCTTTCTGTCGTCATAACCTCCATTATGTCAGCACGTACAACGAAGGCCTTTACTTTCTCTGTTCTGGGGAGTGAACTTTCTGAATCCTGTTTAGGTGGCATCTTTAACACTCTTTTATGGGGAAGCCCCTTGTGTCTCATTGGTTTGGGTCACTATTAAGATATATCATTAATGGCTGGATAATAGACCCTTCAAATTGTAGAAACTTCTAAACTGTTAAATTTTTAGAGCTCTTATTATAAACAGCCATTTTATTGGTACCTATTTAAAAAAAGGAAATCAAATTACAGGATGGAAAATGCACATCTAATAGTTGACCTAGGAACTCCCTTAGTTTAAAACAAACCAGAAAAGTTTGGAAAGCCTTATTTCTGTTTTCCTTTTCTACTCAATGGGTCTTACAGATGCTAATATAAAACATTAGAATAATTAATGCCAATTAGGTTGATTGGGGGGAGAGTATAGCTCAGCGGTTGAGCACATGCCTAGCATACAGAAGGTATTGGGTTCAATCCCCAGTACCACCTTTAAAAATAAACAAGTAAACCTAATTACCCCCACCCCCACAAAAAATAATAAATAAATAAATGTTCAATACATTAAAGAAAAGTCAAAAAAAAAAAAAGAAAGAAAAGAAAGAAACCACAGTGAGACATTACCTCACACGTGTTAGGATGGCTATTATTTTAAAAAGTTTTTAAAATTAGGTTGATTAACAGGAAAGTAAAACAAAAAAACTGACAGGAAAGTCTAGAGACGCTTTCCCAACAAAATAGAAATTTTAAAGGGATCTGTCCCAAATGGATAAAGAAATCTCTAGACAGTTATTAAGAAATGGGATAAATAAAATGGACATTTATGGGATTAAAACACAAGATTTCGTTACTACACCACCTAAGGCTGTATAAGCCAGAGACGACCTGGTCTCCAACATTAAAGGGCCCCAAACAAGTCTGCTTTATTTACCCCAGTTAACCCCAGTTTAAAAAAAATACACACACACAAACACACACACACAAAGCTGAAAGAAAATAACACTGAGATACCAGACCAACAATTATTTGGGGCAACAGTTAAGCCAATTAATTAAGTTTAAAGACTGACAAAGGGCCCAAGTCCACAGCCTCAACCCTGCACTGGGCTCTCGAGACTTTATATAAACTAGAGAAAATGATCGAGGGATAAAAAGAAAAACTGCTAGAACTCCTTGTAAGGCCAAAACTTGATTGTGGCCTAATGAAAACTAAAGTTAAAGGAATAAAAGTTGGTAGACTTAAAAGTTTATAAAAACGTGTATATTTAAATGGCCTTACATGAGATGGTTATATTCTGGGATAGGCATGTTTCACTACTTACCCTGCATGATATTATAAGCCAGGGTATATAGATCTGCCCCGCAGGAAATACTAAACATACTAAAAAACTGACAGGGTTACTTGAGCCTGTACAATATAAAGCAAAACTGAGAGCTAGTATTCAGGGGCTAAATTTTAAAAAAACGTAGAGATTTTACTCTGGGTTTAACTTGTGCACTCAGAAATGAAATGGAGCAAGACCCTGGAGTTCTCCTTGGTACAAATCCTTTCTGTGTCTGTGTTTCTTGTTTATTGGAAATAGGCTTCCTTCAGCCTCCTTGACCTTCCCTGAGTTCCAGGGGGCAGATTCAAACAATTGCTAATCAGGGTAGGGAGGAAATGCAGAAACAAAGGTCAAGAAACAATAGTGCAGCTGTGGGGCAGGGTCCTGGTTCCTCCTTAAGGAATATACATAACAATACCTTTGACTACTTCTGCTGGAACTAAGTGCCCTACCCAGGTAGACACCACCCTGTTACCTTTCCACCTGCCAGTCAGAAGAAAGTCACACACCCTGCAGCCCTCCTGTCAAATTTTGCCTATCAAAACCTCTCCCTGAAAACAACTGTGGAGTTGGGTTTTTGCAGAACAAGCCACCTCCTCTCCTTGTTTGGCCTTGCAGTAAACCTTTCTCTGCTCCAAATTCCAACATTTCAGTTTGCTTGGCCCCACTGTCCGTCAGGCACATGAACCTGATAACAGAAAGAGGCCCTTATTGAATGTCTTATGCAAGCTTTTGAAGGTAAGATAAATTAAATCCTAAAATTTTAGAGCATAGAGCCCTGGAGTTCTGGTTTAGTCAGAATTCTCACTGATATGTGAAGAATTAAAAGCAAAGGTCTGTCTTGCAAATCTCTACAAATCAGAAATGCACATATGGCCCATTGACCAGAGCCTCATCAGCTCAATCAGGTAGAACCTGAAACCAAAGGGTAAGAAAAAGGGGCAAAAGTGGTCCCTTTAAACTCAAAACGGCTGGGAAGGCTGCCTCAGCCAAAATCTAATTCATGGCCTCCTTAAGGGTTAATCAAAAACAAATCTTAAAATTCTTTCCCACAAACAGTAAAATCTTAGTCATCTGAGCAAGCAACTTTAACTTACCCCAATTATTATTTATAAACTAGTAACTTTATATTGCAATAACTGATTCATAACTAAGTTTTAAAGTGAAGCTATGAGATCTCTAGTTTTGTCTGTTTATATGCCTGTGTACACATTATACATGAGATATACGGAAATTCACAAAATTAAACTTATAAAAGAGCTCTTCCTAACTGACTTAAAAGTTAGTGTTTACAAACTATGTATTTCCAAATATGAAAAAAACTGGCCAAAATGAATTTCAGGTTCATGTGCTCTAGGAAACACTCAATACTAAATTAACATATGGCATTAAAGCTAGCTTCAGCTTACTGGTTTAATCAACATAGACATGTCTTACTTTTACTCTACCTAGGTTTACTGAAGGTGAATTAAGTTCGTGTTCTTTCTGCTGCAGAGTATGTCAGTAAGAAAATTTTTTTCTAACTTGGTATTGTAATACTTTCCTAACTTATAAAATAAAGGCAAAAGGGGCAAGAGTTTTCAGGTGGACTCTTTAGAAATAATTATGTTTTGGGTATGTCTATCTAAAATAGTTCCTCCAGATTTTGGTAACTTGAATTTGGCTAAGTTAAATGATGGGAATTCACTGACTATACAAGTCATTTCAGATAAGATAAAATATTTGAACATTAATTGCTAACTAGGTATAAATTTATCTACTTTTGTCTCCTTTCAAGATGGAAATTAAAGATGTTTAGGTTAGCTACACGTCTTGTACCACATTGAAGAAAAAAATTATGTTATACATTTCTAGAGGTTATGGGATATTTCAATTAAGAAATGTGAGTATGACAAACAGATTACAATTACTTGCTGCTTGTCAGCTTTTGCTAGAGTATGTTTTTAAAGGGTTAAATCTATAATACGTAATTAAAGCTACTAAAAATAAGGGAAACATTTCAGTATGCAAAAAAAGTAGGATGTCTTTTCATCAAAAGAAGGTATGAGAAATGGAAATATATTTTGTTAATGGGAAAGAATGATTTTGTTCTAGAACTGGTTGTTTTTGGATGGAAAAATAAGGGACAAACTAACAAACTAATACAGGTACAGAAAATTTCAGAAGGCTTGTAGAAAGAGAGCCCTGAAAAAACCAGTTTTGTACGAGGTCAGACTGCGATTAGGATTAAATTTAATTAGGTAAATGGATTTTGTTGACCTCCAGCTCACTCTGGGATGCTTCAAAGGAGCCCTGAAAAAATAATATATGTATGTATATTTATAACTGAATTTGCTTTGTTATACACATGAAACTAACATTGTAAACTGATACATCAATAACAAATAAGAATTAAAAATTAAATAAAACAAAAAAACACAAAGGAACTCCAAGACATATCAGAAACTTTAAACTAATTGGCTTATTTGGTATGTTAAATTACTTGAGAAGCACTGTCATGTGATTGGAGATGAACTTGAGGCTATATTGTATCAATAAATATCATTAATATAGATATTCCAAAATTTATATGGAATTCCTAAAAATCTGATACACCCTAGTATAATGTTACCAGTTATAACTCTAATTATCTTACAATGATACAGATATACATATACCTCTATACAGAAATATCCAAGTTTCTTGTCAACTGCATTGTAATCAGTTCTTTAACCATGCTATTTAAGTCTTGTCATTTATAAGCAAACATTGTTTTACTCTGATGCTTTTACAAAATGAAGATCTTCAAGAAAATTCATAAAAAGGACTTACTGACAAATGTAAGTTTCTGATAACTTTCGATCATACAACTGAACTGGGTATGAAATTACAAAACTCTAATGGAAAACCTAATGACTAAATCTGGATCAACAGGAATTAATTACATGGGGCTGAATAAATTGATAAATATGATTTATAACTTTACAACTCTTTTGGGGGAAATATACTGGCTTTTAATCTTTGTTTCTCAGAAAAACCTTTCCTCTTATGCTACATTCTGCAACAAGCTGATGAAATACACCTTTGTAAACAAAGATGAAATTTTTATCTTTTTCTCTCTACCTGATCCTTCCAGAATTTGGCTTCTCCAGCTGGCTCTCCTATGGACTTGATCGTTTACTGCAACCAGACTACAATTAGTTATACTAACCATTGTTTTAATTTGTTTTCTTTGCTTCCAAATTGTTTATGCTTTGTGTCTCTCTCTGCTACTCTATGACTTTATTACTTTTACTAGCTGTATTACTTATAGCCTGTCTGTTTTATAAGATCATTGTCCCTTGCATTGTGTAATCAGGTTTCTGACAAAAATTAATGATGTCTTGACAGAATTAATCACATACAACTCTACACAGAATAATTATAATAGTGCAACCCTAAGGGTGGGAAGAAGCAACAAAGAAAAACATTTATGGATAATAGACTAGTAAGTCATGGGATACAGAGAATTTTAGATTATCAACAGGGTCTGATCCAAAAGAGATCAGCACACTGAAAAGCCTATCAGCAGAATCTCTGCCTGATCTAGAATGACCCTCCTAGCACTGTGGGACAAAACTGGTCATGAAATGCCTCCCAAATGTTGGCTGAATTATGACCAAAGGGAAAACACTGTGAATGAAAAATGTTGCCTGCAATATCAATAAACAGAGGATGTAGCAGCCCACTGTCACTGCAGCTACCCTCAAAGTTGCACCCTGAGGGGACTCAGGATGGAAAGGAACAAGATACCAGCCCTACATAGCTAAATGCGTATCAAAGGAATGATTTTAATGAATCTTGACTCTTGCATCTTCCCATACACAGAAAAGCGATAAATTCATTAACATGAGATATTTAGTTTTCTTCAATTAACAGTAATCTACTGATCTTCCGACTACCTAGTCTTCGTTGCAAAACTCCTATATAACCTAGCTCCTCCCTTATCTCTTTCGAGCAGTCCCTCAGAGTTAAGAGGCTGCCTCTCGGGTACAGAGTCCTCAGAAAGACTGCTGAATAAAACATAATTCTCAACTTTTAAGGTTTTTTCCCCCTGCTGACACACAGTAGTCTTAGGGCTTAACTGCTTCCTTACCAAAGCTTCTCTTCTAGAAGGATGCTAATTTTGCGGTTGTTTCTCCTCGATCAGCAAGCTTCACGATCGCCATTCTCCAGCTTGGCAGAATGAATCTCAATTTTAGTCAGCCTCTGGAAGACACAATCAGAGAAGTAATTGGACAGCACATAATATGAGTAACTGCGGGAAAGTACTGAGGCAAATACATATAACTGGATTATCAGCAGGGAAGTTCCACCCCAGTGTTCTGCGAAGCAGAGTCTTAAGATTAACAGCCTCCACAGGCCGGATCCCAAAGTTACGGTAATCTTCGCCCTCACCACCTGCGCTCTCCTGCGGACTTTTCCGCCTCCCAGCCGCTTCCCCAGGCCGGCCTTCTTCTCCGATCCATTACGTTTCAGGAAAGCAGTCCTGCAGCTTCCAGCGAAGTGGGCGGGACCGGCGAGCAGCTCCGGGTCCGGGACCAGCCACCCCGCAGCCCTCCAGCCCGAGGAGCCGCTGAGACGCCAAAGGGGGCTGAATCCTCGGCTCCGGGAAGTCCTCCGCCCACTCCCTTCTCCCCTCAACAACCGCCCCGAGACCTAAAGCGGGGACCTCAGGAAACGTCCCCGCCCGTTGAGACTCCCCCATGGTAGCGCCTCACCTTGCTGGATATAAATGACCATGAAGCCCCCTGCGACAAAGCCCCCGCGCGGCCCACAAGCGTCTTCCCAACTCCCGATCCCGGGGCAGGCCATCTGCACCACTGCCTGATGCTTCTCAGCTATTTTTTAAAAATTATTACTTCATAAGGAATTAACTCAAATACTCGTATCATACTGTTATGATATAATTTAATTTAACTTAAACCTGGCTTGACTTTTACGCCGTCCCCGCTTGGCTGCGAACAGGCGAAAGTTCGGGCCACCTCTAGTGAGGTCCTCTCTCCCAGAAGCTCCGCGCGGCTCCTCCCCCGCCGAGCCCGCCTCTTCCTGTGGGCGGGGTTACCGGTCGGCGCGGCTTGGAGCGCGCCACTGCGCAGCCGCGGGAGGGCGGTACCACGCCGGCTGCGACATGGGGGGGCGCGGAGCAGACGCCGGAAGTAGCGGTGGTACGGGTCCTACCGAGGGGTACTCACCGCCGGCTGTGTCCACCAGAGCTGCGGCGAGAGCTAAGGCCCGAGGGGGTGGGCGTGGCGGCCGCCGAAACACAACATCCTCTGTTTCTTCTCGTGGAGCAGCGCCGCGTCGCTCGCCTCCATCGGCTGCCATGAGCGAGCGCCTCCGCCCCAGGTAAGACCGCAAGGGACCCCCTTCCTTTCTAGCCCCTTGCCCAATGCTGTGTCTTGGGGGATGGAGCCAAGGGGGCGCGCGCAGCAGGGTCCCAGCAAGCGTGGGCCCTGCGCGTCTCCATCTGAGTGCTCTGCAGTTCTGGGGCGGAGGGGAGAGGGATGCGCGAGTGATTGGTTACCTGGTCCCTGGGGGAACTGAAGGAGTGACTCCCCAGGGTCCAGGTCTCCCCCGACCCCATCTCCCCCACCCTCGTCTTTCCCTATTTGGAGTGAAGTCTCGTCGGCCCCGGAAGGGAGACGGTGGCCCTAAAGCTTCTGTGTCCTAAATTTAGGAGGGTGGGGGGATGGGAGGAATGTCTGATCCTCGAGAGGGAGCCCCTAGGGCATCTGTGAGGGGACGGGGCGGGGAGCTGCCGTCTCCCCAAGGTCAGAAAGAAGGATTGGGTTTAACCCTGCAGCAGGGAAGGATTAGGTTAGACTGAAGAACTTGTATCCTGGACAGTTGTGAACACAGAGGGGCACATGACCAAAGTGGCTTGTGGATTCTCTCGGCTGTAGCATTAAGAACAGGCAGGATTCTAAACTGTTAGGATGCGGAACCGTTTGACTCCAAAGGCGGGAGGTAGGATCCTATTGTGATGCACTACTTTTTCTCTGAGCCTGGACCTCGGTCTTAACCTAGGGTGTGTTTTGGTCGCTTGACACATACTGAGGACAGTCTGGGCCAAGCTGCGATTTCTTTTCTTTTTTTTTCTCCTTATTTCTCCCCTGTAAAAATGTGGGGAGGAGAAGCGGGATTGTGCCCCACAATGAAGAGGATCGGCTTTACTTGAAATTAGAAAAATTCCTCTTCTTGGAGTTTGAAGTGAAAACTGTAGATCCAAGTCCAATCTTTGGTTTTTATGACAAGAAAAAGATTTAGAGTTAAGTAAATTCTCCAGGTTCACTGCTCTTTCCTTTATTCCATAATAGTCTCAGTGAGGATTACGTGAAGATAGGATTGCTTTAATAGATTATGCTGGATCTTGTCATTCTATGTTTTCATTGGCTTTGAATGTAATAATCTTTCCACAAGGACCCTGCTGTGGAGTGTAGTAAATTTATAAGATTAAGATTAATCCCGGAAGTTATTTGGGCCAGTAGTGAGCATCCTGAAGTTACTTGGGCCAATAATGAAAAGCTAGGGTTCTCCAAACTTTTGCATATTGATTTGGCTGATGTAGTGAGTGGAGCATAAAGCCTCTACTTGTACGTAAAAGAAGAGTGGACTAAATTTGAACTCAGGGGCCCAATTTACCAACATGCTCCTGAAACTAGTCACAAGGTCCTTAGGTATAGTAAGCCTGATCTGCTTTTCCCCTTCCCAAACCCAGTTTGTACTTCTGATAGCCCCTTGGCATGTCTCACATACCTGAAAAAGTCTAAATATTTCTTAGAAAAAATTTCTCTTTATCTAGTGCTGCACACAAATAATCTGAATGTGCTTATACTAGTAGCAGATTTGTTTTATCTAGTTCACACGATCTTAATATGGTAACCTCTTTACTATAAAGTAAGTCATTTGATTTGGCAGGGGTTTCTCTTCACCTGTGTGTCATGGAGTGTGACAGGTCTGTTCTGCCAGCTCTGGCTGTCTTAGCATCTCCAGGTCAGTTCAGGTTTCTGGATCTGTGTCCTCAATTTTAAGATGAAGCATTGGTTTAAGAAGGTGGTTTTTCAGACTATAAGAGGCATGAGTGTGCGCGAAGGAACCCTACTTTAATCAAGACAGATCCTTTATCTCTTAGATAAATTGAGGGTTTGTTTTTTTGTTTTTGTTTTTTATAGGACAGAAGGGTTCTGTTACCTTTTAAAAAAAGTTTGAAAACCACTAGTCTCATTACTGTAGGATTTCTTGTATGTTTGGTCTCTGGGAGATGACAGGAAGATTGGAGAGAAATGGAATGATGAAAAGTTATGTAATTCAGTCATCCTTAGAAGTAACATACTAGACAATAATCTGTAACTAGATGGTGGGGGAGAATGTAATCAATTATAGGGTGGCTGCTCAAATTATAACCTGGTCTCTGGCATTGATGTTAAGAGCTATAATCTGACTGATTGTGTGGATGGGGTTGAGCATGAAGCTGTAATTTTGCCAATTATTAATGATGCTGTTGATCCAAGGATGAAATCTGCAAAGAGCCTAGAAAAAGGAGAATGAAGAACAGGCCAGGCTCATTCTTACTCCAGTACCATCCAAGGGAGAGGACTCCCAAGAGGCTAAAGAGATAATTCTGGTTCCTGGAGAAATCAGCTGATTATGAGGCAGGGCTATTTCCTGTGACTTCCCCAGAGTTTAACTGAAATCTTCAAAACCAGCCCATCCTCTTGGCATTCGTATTCTTGTCACTAGAAAGATACATCTTATCCCACATTATAAATAAAGAAATTGGAAAGTTTTGTCAGGCTCATAAGTTTGGTTAGAATGACTCAGCAGCCCAAAGCACAGTCATCTGTTGGCACACTGATAAAAGCTTGGGGACCAGCACATTGTCATTTGATGAGTTTCTCTTTGGGTGTCAGCTGGCCTTCCATCCGACATTGCTCTGTAACTGACACACATTCCAGTGAAAATTCTCTGTTCTTATTAGGATAGAAGTAGCAATTTCTTGATTCAAATCTATGAGATTAGCACATCCATTTAATGATCATTAAAACCTGATATTCATCTAGTTTTTAACCTCTAAGTACTTCAGAATTAAAGTGCAGATAATATTGAATCTCCTGGGAGAAAGACAAGGAGCAGAAATGGTGATCTTGCTTTACCAACAAATAGGTCCTGGAATGAGGTGAATGGTGTAGCCCACTGCAGGTTGGTTAACGCTTTATCAGAACCACACACCCATGATTTATCATTCAAAGCCAAAACTGGACCCATACTCAGTAATTAATAAGCTGAGATGTATTCAGAATGTTACCGAGTACAGAGATTTGAGCTTGGGATGATGACTTAAATTTTCTCCAGTTTCCAAACCTCAACTCAAAGCCTCAGAATTAAGGGCCTGCAACAGTTAGCCACCCTTCTCACATAGGAAGTATAACTGTGTAGAAGGTAATATACATTCAAATTCAGTACTTTCCAAAGAGCTGTTTTTCCCTCTGGCTATAGAAATCTGAATCTTGAATGAAGAGTTTTCATTATAATAAATTATGCTGCTTGGTATAAACTGGCCTCTTGCCAGCACTGTCCAATAGAATTTCCTGCAGTGACAGGAATGTCCTATATCTGTGCTGTCCAGCACAGTTGCCACTAGCTATATGTGACCATTGAGCACTGAAAATGTGGCCAGTGTGGTTAAGGAACTGGGTTTTTAATTTTATTTAATTTTCATTACTTTAAATTTAAATTAACAAATGTATCTGGTGGCTGCCATATCAGACAGCACAGTTCCATCTGTCTGACTTAAAATTATACTTTGTTTAATTTATTTCTATTTTCTCACTGGGGTTTGGAAGTCCTGGTGGTGCCTGATTCTTGCACAGAAAACATACAAGCTTTGTCTCTGTTGTACATCTTAGAACACTTGACTGAGAAAGATGTGTAATTCTTCTTTAAACCTGAACATTTTAAGCAGCTGGTGGTATAATCTCAAAGTAACAGTCTAGTGAAGTAACTTATAATACCAGGTGGTATAGCCAGAATAGTCAAGTTAATGTGTCCAAGAGCAGCCTTTCCCAGTGATGGTCCAGAAAAGTAATTTAATACGTCGGAGGACATAGAACTTTTGTGCTAGTGTGACAACTGGGGGAAAATCAGGGATGAAAGAAAACTGAAGATTTAGAGGCCAGCACGAACCTCTAATGGCTGCTCTTGCGTAGCCCCATTTTTATAAGGATTTTCAGCGGAAATAGGCAAGGACAGTCACTGCTGTCTTAGATGCTGCCATTGGGAAGGGAGTGAAATTAGGTAACTTGGGATTGTAATTTCAGGAAATGGAGAAAAAGATAACTTTAATTAGGTAGAGTTTGAAAGCTTAGTCATTAATGTCTTCCTGCTCTTGTTTATTCCCCAGTAGGCATTTAAAATTGCCAAGCTGCTTTTTAGAAATTAGTTGTACTAATTTAAGCTCGAGCTTACTGCTGCTGTTTTATATTTTTGCTCTTCGTGCCCAGCGATAGTGTACTTCCCTTTTACCTTTTGAGATGTCCTATGATGATTTATATTTTTTCAGGCAAGAGGGCAAATTCCTGTGTTGTCATGGTTTACAGTTTGAAGTGTCCAAAAGATCAATTGTTGGATTGCTTTTTTTCTCCTTGTGATTTAATTTCAGGAAAAGGAGAAGGAATGGCAACGAAGAAGACCACCACCTCCCCCCGCAGACCAAAAGGAGTAGTAGGAACCCGGTCTTTCACGATTCCTGGGACACAGAGGTAGGAAGTGTGGTCAGCAGCCTCTGCTGTTGTTACTGCTTGAGCTAAATAACCTGGTCACTTCCGTGTAACCAAATGATTCCTTGAATGAATAAAAGAGATCTTGCTTGATTGTAATGTTTTCAACCTTTTTTTCTTGAGTCATGACTGTTTCTCCCCAGCAAAACGGCCTGTGCCTGCACCTATTCATACCTGCACACAGCCCACAATTTGTCTGTGTTGGAAGTTTTATAGACTTTTGAAAGCCCATCTTTGAACCCCCTATTTGGTATTTCAGAAACCAACTAATTTTCTAATACGTTTATAAACTATTACTTGTCCTTAAGACAAATATATTTTGCTGCTTCTGTGTCTCTTAAAGATAGGCTTTCTGTGTTTTCAAGAAAAACTATACAGGCATTCAGAATATATAGTGTATGTATATGCAAAATCCTATTTTTAAGTGTTCTTTTGTTTTCGTTATGTTGTTCTACAAAGAGCACCTGCGGGAGGCAGAGTGGAGTCGGGGTGAGGGGAGCTCCTGAATTTTGGCTTCCTGGGTGTTTCGGTGCTTCTGTGCACCTGAACGGCTGATCTCCAGTGGGGAGAGGAAGCTGACATTAAAAGGATGCTGCTATTAAATTATGCACCTAAAGATTTGACCCTTAACCGCTGTCCCCGAGAGAGACGCTCCTCAGTGGCAAAGACTCCTATGCCCTAGCCCGACCACTGAAAGCAGAGTTCCGTGTATCACAGTTCTTGCACAACCAAGATACTTTATGCTTTAATTAGTTCCCGATAATAGGATTTGACCTATATCCAGCCTTTACCAGGAATCCAGAGGAACTCCCTCGGGGAAAAATCAGTTAGCTGTCCTGTAGGTAATACTCACTCAGGAGCAGTGCAGACGAGACCCTTCCATGTGGGGACTTAAATTTCTTTAGCTTTTCCCCCTTGTAAAATCTTCCTGTCACTTTTTCCCCCTTTTGTTTTTTCTTTTTTCTTAACAGAGAAGTAACTGAGTTTTTGTTTAATGTGATAATTGGGGAATCTCGCAGATGGGAGAAAACCAAAGATCAGAGGCTGCCATGAGCATTTAATGATAAATCTAACAGAATTGAATTTCCGTTATTCTTTTAAATTATGAGACTATGCCTTAAAAGAGTATGTGGTGGTTACTTTCATGGTATCAGCATGAGTATTTCTTTTTTGCGTCTGTGTGTCAATCCCACTATATGATGTTTGTGTTACTTCTAAGGTACAGTAGATCTGAGTCTTTGTATTGCTCTTTTTTCTCTGTATCTGCAGTTTTCATGTCTGAGAACAAGAGTATAAGTTGTCATAACAAAAAAAATTAAACATTTCTGATCCCTTATTTTTTAGGTAATACTCCCTTAGCATTAGTTTTTGTCTTGTTCAAATTGCTGTCCGTTTCTGATACCCATGTTTTGGTCTCATGGAAGAAAACAACGTACTGTTATTCAGCCTGTTGGTTCATGCGTATTGTTCTTACTTGTCCAGAGAAATTCAGCCGTTAAACCACTCTGTAATCATTAGTCTGAAGGATGGACTAGATTGCCCTTGTAATGATTAACAGTCAATACAGGTGATTTTTATCTGTCATGGTAATCTGAATCCCCCGGTAGACCCATCATGGGTGGCTATGACTCTCCGTTTCAGCCTTGCTGAGCGAATACTTACCGGCGCTCGGACACAGTGGCCTCCTGTGCTGTTCCTCCCCAGCGGCGGTATTAACAAGTAATGAGGCCAAGTGAACCCAGGGAGAGCTGGAGCAGCAAAAGGAGGGGAAAATCTTTAAAACGGAAAGTTCAGCCCTGAATAATTGAGTCGTGACCACTGGAGTAGATCATTATGTTTATAGCATAAAAATACCAAGTTTAGGGATAGTCGGCTGCTTTTTGATAACTGTGTGTAACGGGGGAAATAATAAGGCAAGTCATTTCTAGTAGGTTTACATAATAAAATATATTATTAATGAAAATGGTGTCTTTTAATAATTCTAAGGTAGGGCCAACGAGGTAAATTCCCTTAAGCCTGACTCAGTTAAGAGAAACTATCCTGTGTCTTTCCTGAAATGCTTAGATAATTTTAGAATTTTTTTTCCTGTAACATGAACTTTCATTTGGAAGAAATTTGTTTTAATTCTAAGGGAGATTTAGAATTACAATTAACATCCAAAAATCACCCTTTTCTCCTAAATGGAATAATACTGGCAAGTGCTGGGAAATTAGGTCTGAGCCGTTGGAATTATGTTAAACTATGCACAGGGAAGTCACACTTAACCTGTAAAACAGAGACAGTACGTGTCTCTTTTCTCCTAGGTTCTAGGATGCTAAAGAACGTGAGCTGACTTGCCAGATTAGTTATGTAAAGAGAAACTTTTAATCTGCTTGTGTATTTTCTTCCTGTCATTTTGGTAGGTATTATGAACTCTGCTTTTCAGATGGAAAAATTGGGGCACGGAAAAATAAAGCCCCTTGCCCAAAGATACACAGCTGGTGAGAGGCAGGTGGGTGAGCCCCAGAGTTTTGACTGGTGAGCTGCTTGCGTCTGCCTATGGTCTGTGCCATCCCCCAGAAGACAGAACGGAGGTTCTGATAGGGGTGGCTAGGTCCTAGACTTCTCCTGAATCATAGGAGCAGAGAAGAGTAATTTTCCTCGCCCTGTCTTTTAGCTGGTAGGTATTTTTCCCAGTAAACACAATGACATGGTATTAGCTAGAAAGCAATTTTAGATTTCTTAGCTACAAAAAGTATGGAAATTGGGGTCTAGTTTTTTTTTTTTTTTAACTAAATGGTGTTTGCATCAAAGATCTTGAATTTTCACTCCAGTGACTTAGATTTAATGCCTTGTGAACCCTAGGGTACTGTTTTTTAAAGTGAGATATATAATTTACAGGTATAGGAATAAAAAAGTTTCTTGTAAAGCCATTCTCGATGATTGCTGGTGGTTAACACCTAAGGCCAGTTGTTTTTCTCTCAGGTGAGCAAGAAGTGAAATGATGCATCAGTTTGCATCTTCCTGTTGGGTCTTTTACAAAGGTAGTGCCATTCCCCTAATCTCAGGCAGTTACTGAGTGAGGAAAAATTAGCTAGGTTTAACTATTGAAGTTCATTTTCTTAGGAGCTGGCCTTTTTGGTTTGAATTGTATCTTTACTTGTAGGAATAATGCTCTGTATTTCCAGTTTGAATATTTTTATCTACAAATTATACTACACATTTCCAATAAAACTGGCTTCTGGTATGTAGCTATATGCCTTATAAAAGCGATACGCCTTATATACCCCGCCTCGGGGGTGGTTAGAGCTCACTGGCAGACCGCATGCTTAGCATGGACGAGGTTCTGGGTTCAATCCCCAGCACCTCTAAAAAATAAATAAATAAATAAGTAAACCTAATTACCGCCTCCCTCCAAAGAAAGTACAGCCTCTACTGTTTTTCCTGTCTCTTCTAGAAGGGAAAAATTTTGATGTCATAATCCTAAAATCCCAAGAGTATTCTTAGTTGGAGTGTAGAGGCATGACAAAAAAAATAACAGAACCAGGGGAATCCATGTATCATTAAAATTAGGATTCTATAAACCCACTTGTTTCAACTGATGAGAAAGAACTAGCTGAATGTCAGGTGATTTTTCTTTTTAACTGTGAATTTAGATGGCAGTAGAAATATCTAGCATAATTTTTTAAAAAAAGGTATTTTAAGGTTTTGTTTTTGCTATTCTCATCTTTAGTTGATTGTAGTGTGATAGGAACAGCCTAAGAGACAAAACTGTTCTGGCAGACTCTCTTTGGGGTAAGGCTAGGGTTGTGTGTTTAAAACCCTGCAGCCAATTAACTCTGAGATTAACTTATAAAAAGACCATTAGAAATGGAGGAACAGTCCTTTCAGAAGTTAGTCTGATCTGTAGCATACGTCTTAAGAAACTTTGCTCACAGTTCAAGTCCTGGAAATACAAATATGTTGCATCAGCTGACACCATGAAGTGCTACCCTAAGCAGTTTCAAACTGAAACTGAACACTGTTTAGTTGTAAGGATACATACATGTTTTTGGGAAGGAACTTCAAACAGATGTTGGGGTCCAACTTTATCTTATAAGGATATGCCATTATTACTCATTGACACAGGAAAGTGACCACCTGTGTTTTGTTTCCTTGCATATTTAGAAAATGGTTTTAATTGTCCCACTGAATTCATTTGGAGTCTTATGGTCTCGCTGGTATTAGCAGACCTGGAGCTCTCGTAAATCATTGGGTACTTTGGAAGCACAGAATTTTACATTAGAAGCTCTGATAGACTTGGCTAGGATCATATCTTGCACTTGATCCAGATTCTGCAGTGGCCTTCAGATAACTTCATTATGACTCCAGAGGTGGAGTGTATAATATAGTGAGTGAAATTTCTTTTTTCTTTGGAGGTTTACGTAAGTTAAAAGCACCATTGAAAGAGCAGATGGATGTGAAGGGAAGCTGGAGCTTGAAAGAAAATATACTGTTGACCTGTTTTTCTAATTAGGAGAAAGCTTACAGCTCTAGGTAATAAATACACACGTTTATCCTGGTGCTTTTTATGAAGCGGACTCAGTAATTAGCAATCCTGCCTGGGGGACTTTCTAAAGGTTGTTAGTAGAAAGAGTCTTTAGAGTTATTTGTTTCTGGTGTGGGTGTAACTGGGTTCTCAGACTGACCTCATGCTGTGGGAAAATAAAATCCAGGGCAGGCCTAGCCGAGGCCAGGAGTTCTTTCCCTCTGGTGTATGATGTGAGCCCTGTGGACTAAGAAAATGAACTTCAGCTTCTGTGTCATCTGCACCACAGTTTATGTATATCCTCCTTTCTGCCAGAGACAGTGAGGCGGCCCTCTGCCTTTCTCTGCTGTGCCTTCTGTCAAGGCTCCTGAAAGCCCTTCTGAGGACTTCTCCCTTCTCATCTCTTCAGATCCTTCTTACCCACTGCTTCTTGCATGAGCCCACGGATGTGCTGTCTTCCCTTCCTGTTTGCTCTCGCCTCCACCTCCACCTCCAGGTGCTTTCTTTTCCCTTCCCTACCAGCCACCCAGTACCCTCAGGCTGCCTTCCCTCCTTTCCTCTCTGGATCCTGGCTGCCTCCCTGGCTCCACTGAAACTTTTCTCAAGGCTGACAACGCTCCTTCCATTCAGCAACCCCATACTGAGCACCTAGTGTTTGCCAAGCATCATCCTAGATGCTTGGAGTCACCTTGGATGGGCTGTCTCATTTCCTTCCTGAATCCACCCATCTCCCCTGGATGTGACCCCCTGCCCCACCTCCATTTACCTTTCCTGCCTGACTTATTAGAGAATTTTCCAGATGGCCCCTGCTCGTGCTCCCCCACCTCATTCACCTCACTCAGATACCTAGATTCCTCACTTCTGAGCGCAGGTCAGAGCGTGTCTTATCCACCCAGAAGTAGTTCCTGTGGGACGGGGCGGGTCTGCCATCATCTGGCCGTCACTTCTCTCCCATGCATCTCGTCTGGCTCTTCCTGGAGTGGGCCAGCCACACCGCACTGTTAGCTTGTCCTCCCCAAAACACTCGTTTCTTTCGATTTTGCTCACTGTTCTCCCAGTTTGTCACAGCCTGCTTATTGAAATTCTTCCTTATCGTTCTAGACCCAGTCCAGGCATTACTCACGTTAAGGCGTCTCTCCTGGCCCTGCTGCCAGCACCCGCTGTTAGATGCCTGTCACTGCGGTAGCTCTGCGCTGCTGTCAGCAGTGGCTGTGCTGCCACTATATTCTTGCTTAAGCTCAGTAAATGCGTAAATGGTTAAGTAGCCCTAGTGCAGTGCCTCCTGGTACACAGCAGGGACACAAACACGTGGACAGTGGTTGGACATCAGAACATCCTGTGCCTCTTTGAGCTACGTTTTCTAGGGGTGGGGCCCTCGCACGTACACTTTTTAGAAAAGCCCACAAGCGATTCCAAAACAGACTGTATCATGGTAGTTCTCTTTTGGATCTTCCCCGGGCGTCTGCAGTTAAGAAGGATGTCCTGCAGACTGTAAAATGATTTTTATTATTGCCTAGGCTAACCTCAGATCCTCCCCTTTCACACAGATCTTCACTACAGGATTCGTATGAGCTGCCTTTGTATATTTAGAGAAATGCTCTTGGTCAGAATCTTTACGGATGTAACGTTCTTGTGCTTCTGTATGTAGATTTGCAGGGGGCTCTCATTTCACAGATCATGACCTTATTCTCTTGTGATTTGCAATACAAATTTGTCACGAAAATACCCGGGTCAAATGTTAGCACTAAGCCAAAACTGAAAACTCAGAGAAAAGAAAATGGGCTTTGTAACTGTCAACGTGGCTAAATTGTCCAATGGGTATTTTCGGTAGGGAATTAGGGTCACCGGGATAGGATTCATATTTGGTGAGTCTTTCTCAGCCCCGAAGTCTTTGGACTCTTCTTTCTCCTTCAGTAAAAGAATCTGCTCTCTTTTACAAACAGATGTAACAAGCTAAACACTTCTGCACTAGTTTAGCAGTTTTAATTTTCGGAACCATGCACACTGTTAAGTAGTGGACCCCCTCTGCCCCCAAGCAGTCTGATACTGAAAAGCTCCACTAAGTGGGGGAATACAATTTTTTTCCTGTCTCAAGTTTCCTGGTTTTATAAAACAAAACGGTTTACTTCTGTGTACATCTTAAGTCTCTGATAGAGACTGAAACTTCGAATTTATGCCTTTAGTGTTAAAAGGAAATAATGGTCTTTCCTTGATCCCATAAAGTCAGATACTTTGAAGGCTGGCAGTGTTAAGACTCATTACAGCAACTTTCAAACTTTTTTGACCCAGTTTGTAGAAACGTTATATTTTGTGACCCAGTGCGTACCAGATGTATTTGTGCCTCACTGAAAAAAAGGTTCACGGAACAGTTATCCTTACCATGTTGCACTGTTTTATTGTGCTGGGGTTGCTACCCACTGATGGTTTCACTGTCAGTTAGAAAAACTCTGGTCCATCCATAGATGGTGACATATTCCCTAAAGCCCCCCAGATAGAACCAAGACTAGTCTGAATTGGCAGAAAATAGGACCCAGAGCATCTCTGAAAGAGTATTGTTCTTACCTTTGCTGACAGTATGTATGTAAGGTTTTATATGTATTAAAATAACGTGTCAAGTGCATTCACCCAGATTCCCAGGTGTTCTCTTATTAGTCTAAAAGCATCATCAGCCAACCGTCTGCTGGTGATTCAGCTGAAGCATTTTAGAGGTTCTTAAGTAGTTATAGGAGATGCAAGTTAAAATTTTGACAGTATCAGTGTATTTTTTGCAGTCTCAGTCTTGAAGTTAGAAGTAACTGAAGACCTTACTCTGTTTTGTAGTATAGCACTCTTTAGTTCACTTACTCATGACTATATTTTGTCCGCAAAAGAAATCCACTTTTGTAGAAGCTATAGAAAATAAAGATTTAAAAAAAAACTAGAAAGTTAAAAAAACAAAAACCTAGAAGGTCCAAATTCTAAATATTTTGACATGTGTATCTTTCCAGATTATTTTTGGTGTATGTATATGTATACATTAAAGAAAACACTTTAAAAGCCACAGATGTACTACACATTGTTTTGTAACCTATAAAAAAGGTGTTAAAGATCTCTTGTCTTGGTATATGTACATCTTTATCGCCACTGTTACCTGCTGCATAGAATTTCATCATTATGGGTTATAATTCATTCATTATACTTTATATACATAGATTATAGTTGAACCAGTTTCTCTACTTGTAGGCATTTGGGTTGTTTCCCGTGTTAGCTATTGTGAACAAGGCCCCACTCAACATTTTTATACATGTTTTTCAAAATGTGAGTTAGAAGATACTTAAAGTGGACTAGAAATTGCAGGTCCATTTATCTCCCCCTCTCCCCTTTTTAACAGTTATTGTACAGAAATCTTTTCTCACTTGTCTACTTTAAAGAACATTTGCTATAATAGTATGCAATAAATACAGTTTGAGATAGAAACTTGACTTACTAGAAACTGATTCTAGTTCTTGCCTTAATTTTCAGACAGTACCTGTAACGAGAAACAGTAAAGAAAACAGACTAAGAGGAAACAAAGTGCTCTGCGCGGTGGGTTTCTTACCTCGTGTAGTGACCTGCTCATCCCCTAGTCACGGCCTTGCCACGTGTGCCCCCGCTGTTCTAGCTGACTCCATGCTAGGTCAGGGGAGACTTGTATGGAAAACAAGTTTTGTTTCTGAATTGGCTTTGATTTCTTAGGTCTTTAAGTAAATGTAGCTGCTGCTGCTGTTCACCCTGCCATCTGACCTCATTCAGCCCAGTATAAGGCTTTCTTGAATTTTTTTTTAATAGAAAGATATGTTGCCTCCCACTACCTACGGGTGGTGGGCTATGTCACCTGTTAAGTCTGAGCACCTCCAAGTGACCCGTGGACCATGATAGTTCTTGGTTTACATCTTAAGCATGGATGCCTTTCATGATCATTGCTTTCTTTGCCATTTCAGATAAGTTTATCTGGGTGTACTGTTAGCAGCAACTTTTGATCAAAAAATGGACAGAACTGGTATTTTTAAAATCACTTTTAAAGTATCTGTCTGGAAACAACATTTTATGTATACGTTTATTTTTATAATAAAAAATATGTAATAACCATATTGGAAAAAAGTTGTAGTAACATGGTAGAAGAAGAATCACCAACTATAACCCCTCCATTCTAACATAACTTCTGTGGTCTGTTTCTTTCCAGTCTTTTTTCTTACAAGTAGATTTCATGTAGCTGTAAGCAGACATTTAAAAACCAATGCTTTTGTCTGAGGGAGTATGAATTTTTGTCAAAGGGCTAAATTAAAAAAAAATTTATATACCAGATCATTACCAGAATTCTAATTTTCTTGTGCATTGATTCCTTCCAGCATGATACCGTGTTGAGTTGTAAATAGAGAAGGGTGCTGTGAATCAAGTTATTGGGGTTGTTGCTTAATTAGAAATAGAGTATTAAAATGATAAAGTACCATAATTCTGGAAAGGGCCCATCCTTACCATTGCCTTCCCTTTTAAGATCTTAGCGTTGGAAGGAAGGAGATTTCTGAGAGTAACTCTCATTGGAACTCTGAGAAGCTTCTACAAGTCATGTTAGTGACATTAAAAATAAAGTTAGGCATACGTGTGCACACATGCACACGCATACACATACAGAACTACAAAAATGCTATAAAACTTTATAAGAAGTATATTAAAGTAAATTGTACTCCAGTAACAAATTTTTGGGGAAAAAAGTGTATTCGGGTCTTTCAGGATAGTACAAACTATTAGGTATAAAATAACTTCAAGGATATATTATACAACACGGGGACTATAGTCAGTTTTTTAAAACAACTATATAAATGGGGTGTAACCTTTAAAAATTGTGAATCACTATATTACATACCTGTAACATATAATATTGTACAGCAACTGTATTTCAATTAAAAAATACGTCTTTCAGGATATGTTCTGCATTCAGAGAATAGTTTTGCGCCCGTAAGACAATCACAAAGTTACCACAAGTTTTTCATTTTAATTTATGCCCAGAAGCCATCTGTTTGTTAAGAGGACGCCTTTTTTGTACCAATGATCAATACTTCCCCTTGGAGGCTAAGCACTCCCTTCTGTGATTGTTGGAAATTACTGGAACGCATGATAAAAGTAGGGAGAGAAGATGCAGTTGAAGGGATTTGCGGGTGGAAGGCCTGTGTTCGCATCTGGAGCCTGCTGCCTCCTCTTCCTAGGGACGTGTAATGGGCGTCACCATCCCCCTAGGCCTCGCAGGGGAGTTGTGAGGATAGGGTGAAATGTCTTAGGTGAATGTGCTTTGTAAAACTGTATGTTTTGATCTGGTACTCCTCAAACTAAACAGGAGAAATGTTCCCAAATAGGGGATCTTAAGTTAAAGCACAGCAAAGCTCTTCAGAAACAAAAGAGCCTAATTGTGATGCCATTTCTTTCTCCTTCGTCCAGTCTTCAAGCAGTGACAGTGGTGGCAGCAGCAGCAGCATCAACAGCCCGGACAGGGCCAGCGGTCCAGAAAACAGCCTGAGCCCCCTTGCCACCGGCTCCAGCCCCGACACCCCACAGCCCGCGCCCGAGCAGTCCGCGCTGTGCCAAGGCCCTTACTTCCATATCAACCAGACCCTGAAGGAGGCCCACTTTCACAGCCTCCAGCACCGAGGACGGCCTCCGACATGATGTGCCGGCAGTTTCTTGCCTTCTGTGAAGGGACAGCGCTGTGCAGATTTGATATTTCAACTTACGATGTTTTAAAAAAATTGCACAAAAAAATGCCTGTTGGCTTTTCAGTCTATATTTGAAATTACAGGTTAACAGGCAGTTGTTTACTTGTGGTTTTGCTGCACTATTGCGATTTCAAAGGGGCTTTGAAGCAGTTTTTTATAGGATCCTTTTGAGGGTGGGTATCAAATCCACATCGAGGTAATAGGAAGAGGAAATCTCATCTACGTGTTGAATCCATAGTTTGTCCAGTTCAGACTGATTTCCAGATGTGTCAATTAGAAATCCTACTTTATGTAAAAAGGCCTTTTAACAATGCGGGCTCTTCAATTTTTTAAATTCAATAAACTAGTAAAGAATATCTAGTTTCCATGAAAAAAAAACCTAAGTTTTTTTTTTTCCAAACTATAGAAAGCTTGATTCAGTCTTGCACTGAAATTAACTGCCATGCTACCTCTTAGTATGTAGATGTCCTGTTGAAAGTACTCTCCTTTGTGACAGGAGAACAATCAGATCCACGTTAGACTGTGTAAGTGAGCACCCTCCCTGATAACTGTCTTCTCTCTCTGTTATATATTTGTATTTCCAGAGAGAAGGTCTCTCAGACTCTTGGATACCCAGGTAACCTGTTACCGTTATTCCTCCAGAGCCTACATCTCAGACTTAGAAAACATTGCTTAGTTCCAACAGTCAAGAAATACATAGTGACTTTTTGTCTCACTCACAAACTTGTCCAGTGGCAGCTTATGTGATCTCATTGATAATTCCACCTTGTAGTGGCGACAGTGAACGCGCTGGTGAATGCTGACAAAGCGTAAGCTATCCGGACTGATGTCTGACGTCACAAGTGTCGTGAAACTATTGGACAAGGATTCACTTTATGCTTAAAGTAACCCCTGATGGTAACTAGGGGGCCACATTCCATCACCGAAACTGGAAGGACTAGTGTGGCTTAGAAACAAATGAGCAGACGCACCTGTAGAAGAAATAACGCAGTATTTATTTGCAGAAAGATGGATCGTTCTGTTCCCGTGTCATTTAGTCATACTAGAGAGCCACCCAAGTTTGAATAACGAAGGCGTAGACGAGTCTTCTTCCTCAGTGACAAGCTGTCTGAACAAGGAGCCGGGATGCACCGGGTCATCTGCTCGGGAGAGTGCCGGGGGGACAACCTGCCATTGTATGTAGAGGAAAGTGCCTTAGAGTCTGCCCGAACCCTCCTGCCTGCTCTCACCCTCCATTCCACTCGGAGTCCACACAGCACACACGGCAGGTCTGAGAAGCGCGGAAAGCTCTAGTAAGGGGGCTCTGCTCCTTGTATTTGAAAAGGACATGGGGGACAGCATGACATTTTATTGCGACAGAACTGCATATGGAAAGAGGGTAAACGTATGTGCCTCCTTTCCATGGTTTGTTCCTCTAATATAGGTAGAGCTGAAAGGTCAGTTGCTTGAAGGAGAAATGAAGACTCACAGGGGAAGTTACTGCATAGGCCCATGCTTAACAGAGTGCTTTATGCAAGAACCTTTTCTTTTTTTAACTACCATCTCCCAAGTTTTGAAACCAGATGTTTGATGAGGATTTTGGATCTTAATGGGTTTGATGGCAGGGAATATAGGAAGGATACACTGCTAATATTTTATCTCACAAGAAAGCAAACAGCAGCTAAATGCTGTGAGAAGACAAGCTGTTTGAGCTCTCAAACACACGCGTACACAACACAACTCAGAAATACCCAGGAGGACTCCCGCGGGCTTAATGAATGGCAGCCTACTGAAAGAAAACGTGTATTAACAACATGTAAAACTTGAGAAAGCAAATTTCCTTTTATTTCCCACCCAACTAAAAGAAAGATGAAACCATCACTGAAACAAAACAGTTTTTTTTCCAAATAAGTACAATCATAGTGCTGGGTTAGCAGTTAACTCTTTTACCCTGTTGAACACACGAAATAATCTCCATCCTGTTCTGCATATTTTCTACAGCCTTGGCAGCCTGAGATGTGTTTCTGTTATGAGGCTGCTTGATAGTGTAAATGGGCATCTTTTAAAACTATTAGCTCAAGCTAGTAACACTGTGTACTTCTATATTGCGCCGCCATTAAAAGCAGCATTAGTGCATCCTGTCATTCGGTTCTTTATCGGTTATTTAAAGGGGAGCTGATTGGGTGGTTTGGTGGGGAATGGGGGGGGATCAATTGGGATGAACCTCTCGTTCTCTGCACTAACCTGGGCTTTTGTTTCAATGCTTCTGCTGGTTGATTTGGCCTTTCGAGTGCTTGTCATGCTCAGCGGAAGAAGTCCAAACCTCCAAGACAAGATGAAGGAATTTCAGTAGCACGAACAGAAAGCTTTGGGGCCCCGAAAGAGGATCTTTAAGAATCATTACCTGATCTGACTTGATGCCAGTGGCAGGATGTTATGGGCTTCCTGGGAGTTGAACGTACTGCTCCTGGGGGTGAACTGGTTCTCCGTACCAGTCACCAGGCCAAACAGAACCTGACAGACAGGAAATGGAGCTCAGGAACAGGCTGGGTGTTTTATTGTCCAGTTAAAAGAAAATCAGTTCTCTGCTAGTAATCAATCACCACTTTGTTTTCAACCATCCTTTTGGGGAATGTTCCTTTGAGTGTGTTAATGCTTCAGAATTTTATCACTGCCCCTAGGTCAGAATCTCAGAGTCGAATAGCTCTTTGATTTTACTCCTCTTTCTGAGGCCCTGGTAAACCCTTAGCAGTCCTTACCCACAACTAATGGGGACACTCAGCTGAGAGAGTTGACCTAACCCTCTTTCAGCCTCTATAACTAAACTCAGCTGACTGTCTCACCCGCTCTCCACACTGCCTCCTGGGGGATTACGTGCTGGAGCAGGTTTCTGCTAGGATGTGGGCCTATGACCCTTGCCTGTGACCCGTCATTGGCACCAAGCGTGCTTCTCCCCGGACTTACGGAAGTTCTCTGCACCAGGCGGTTGAGGTTGCTGTTGAGGTGGGGTGTGAATACGTCCAGGTCAAAGGGGTCAATGAGGGCTTCCAGGTAGTCAGCCACTTTCTCAACTCTGAAAGAAGGATTAGGATGGTTCCTGTCCGCGTCTTTTTAGGACAAAAGCCGATCTCAGGGTATTGTAATGCTATAGAAGTCCTGGAACTGCATCTGTTCTCCTTAATCACTGGCTTAGTACCACTTGTCACTAATCGTCATGCTTAAATAATCCTCAAGAGTTCTAACCTGATGGGATGTCTTAAGTTGAGTCCATTCCTCCCCCATGTTGTTTTTAGGGAGGGCACCAAAGGCTCAAATTGTAGCCAACAGTCGGCAGGCTGACTCAGAAGAGAGAGGAATGAGATCCCAGCCAATACACTTGACCATGGAGCTTATCCAGCAGGTGGCCATTATTTATCTTGCTGGTAATAATGAGCACTGACTGCTTAAAACAAACACAACTAATGGGCAATAAGAGGCAGACTCTTCGGTGGCTTCCCGGACAAGGAAGGGCTCTGCAGACTTGGAAGGGACTGCATTCATAGGGCGAGGATACCTGGAGTCCTGTTTGTTGCGGCCACTTTTCGTCTCTTCCCCCTTGGTCGTCAGAATGATGTTGAGATAACGCAGATCATAAAGCAGCTGCAGGGCCCGATTCTGGGTCATTGGAAACGCACCTTCTTTCTGCAAATGAATTTCCCATCCCCACCCATTAAGGGAGCCGGCTTCTGTGAGAATAAACAGCTTCACGACTTGGCTGAGTTATAGCCTGTTATTTCAGAAGATTTTATACTCATAAGGCTGATTTAATCTCACAACCACAACAAAAACGTTCTGTTAGATACTTGGGCTTAAACCAAACTAAGAACTTAATGGCAGGGAAGAGACCCAGCCCTTAAAAAAGGTCTCAGGTGCTGCAGACAGTCATTTTTAAAGGAAGAAAAGCTCCTTGCATGACGGAGAGGCCTTTTGAGGACGCTCAGGAGAGAAGACTCACCTGAATTCTTTCCCTGATCAGGAGTTGGTCCCATCTTAAAAATGTTACTAATGAGATGGGAGTATACGCCAAAGGCAGAATGCTTCATCGTAAGTGAGAGGGGCGGAGGGCTGGGGACAGGACCTCCCTGACATGGGTGTGCTGTGCCCTGCTTCTGCTCCCACATCCTCACACTCCCCCGGAGCAGTTCATCTGCCTGAACACACTTGATCCTGAGGAAACAGGTGAATAATTTGCCCAAAGCCCGCAGTGACCACGTGGCAGTGCCAGGGTTAGAAACTAGGTCTTCTCTACTTTGAGGCTTTCATCCTCGCCACTTGTACTGAATGGCCTTTTTAGCGAAGACCTGCTTGACCCTTGAGAATGGATGTGATTAAACTCGCAGAGCCGGAAGCCACTACCAGTTAGATAGCCCGGGGCGAGTGGTGCTTCACACTTGGAATCCTGGCTGTAAACTACCCAAATCCAAAAAAAGCTCTGATTTTTACTTCTGTTTTTAATGGAAAAAGATTCACACACCTACCTTCATCTGTTTTTCTTCCGAGAGTTTCTCATAGGCAGCTACTACTTGAGCCAGGCAGCTTTTCAGCATCTCCTGCAGTGTCACCTTTGGCAAGGCATGGCCTCCAACCCGATTAATTTCCTGGCATAAGCTAAACAGGAAGGACTGGACGTACCAGGACGGCTAAAAGAACAAAGGAATGTCAAGTTGCCATCTTGTACCAATTAAATGAGACTCAGTACAAGTGGATCCATCTATCCTTACTAGGCTTGTACGCCAGGACCTTGACCTTGCCCGTCAGCCCCTCTCAGACCACAGCAGACCACTTAGCAGAGACAAGTGACATCTGCCATCATTCCCTTGGTGGTCTGGGGTTGACCAGGCACTATGTTTTATGTTGCTGTTTTCACTTTAGGTAAAAATGGTCCTCTAATTAGCAGAGTCTGTGCTCCAAAAGGAAAGAATCACTACCTGACTTCTCAGTCTGCTATTTACTTGGCCCTCTGCCCACTGTGCTCCCACAGGAGAAAGTTATACATTACTTCCAGCTCTTCCTCAAAAGTTGTATGTTGAACAATTATCCAAAGCCCTGTTTGTTGCGCAGAGCAGGTTCTCCCTACTCGGTTCACGGGCCCTCACGCTGGCACGTGCCTACCTGTACAGGGAGTCGGATCTTAGATGTGACGCTGCTCCCAGACTCTGCCTCCTCCTGAATTTCTAGTTCATCCCAACTGGTGGCTGTGGCCAGGACTGAGCCAGCATCATCTAAAAGTAACGACTGGGCAAATCCATGAGCCAAAACCTGGTAATAAAAAGCGAATACCCACAGAGGCTGCTCAGATACTTCACAGTTTGTTTCAAACTCCTCAAGTAACCTTGAGACCAGCCTCCGCCACTCGGGTCACGTGTGGGAAGGCGAGGGGCAAACATCACTTTCCTTCTGGCTAACGGCTGCTATCAGCAGTGGGAATCTGGGTTGCTAATCACTCTGCAAATGCCAGGAGCCACCTCTTAAGATGCCAGTGGGGACTACAGGCATTATGGTATTTGGGTTAAAAAGCAGAAAATACAGACCACCATCCAAGGAGAAAGTCTTTCATTCTCATCAGATGAAAGGAAAAAAAATGCAGGGTTTCTGTCTCTAAAACCTGGGCTAAAATGAACGGAGAAGTTTTTACATTTGAGCTCCCTGGCAGAGGCAAGTGACAGTGCTATGTGAAATACGGATTGTTACCCCCTTACTGTGAAAAGACCTCACTGGGCGTGGCCCGCGTGGACTACGATGAAGAGGAGATAAAACAGGGACGGCCCGGCGGGCACAGAAAGAACCCGCCTACGCGTCACTCACTTTGACGACGGCTGAGCTCCAGACCCGGTAGCCCATCACGCTCTGCTGCAGGAGGAGTTCCTTAACTTCCTGCCACTTGGCCTGCGTAGGAATTATTTCTTGAGTTTTCCCCTTTCCCTGTTTTTTCAGAGCCCTAGAATCCCTTGCTGGTTTCTCAGTGCTCCCTGATTTTCCCAAGATGCACTGCTTCAGGTGGGGACACAGGTCTCCCAGTGACTGGCAGAGTCTGGCCATGAAAAGGACCGCATGCAGCTTGACCCCGCTGAGCACATCCTGCTGCCCTTGCACAGCCTGTTCGATGCTCTGCAGCTCCGCCCGGACACAGTCCGTGATGTGCTTGATGCAGGCCGTGGAGTGAGTCCGCAGCATCTCCTGCACGGTCCCCGCGTCTGCGTATCTGTCAAAGGCACAGTTCTTGGCTTGCGTCGGGGAGGCGTCCTTGGGCAGTGACGGGTCCCCAGAGGGAAGGTAAGCCAGGAGGTCCTCCAGTTTCACCTTCAGCTTAGAATCCAGGGCAGCACAGAAGGTCTGTGTGCAGGGGCTGACGGCTTGGGCTTTCATGGAGAGCCCGCTGCCGGGGAACCGGGTCCGGTTTGACACACTGACCCAGGCAGCATCGGAAGGCAGGTCGCTGGGGCTCTCGGACCAGAGGAAGAGGGACATGTTGTGCTCAAAGTGGATGTGCTTATTGGAAGTGGAGCTGCTCGTGCTGCTTTCAAGTTCCTGCAAAGCTGAAATCAGGAGTTCTTTGGAACTACTGGAGATGGAGTCAAAGCCTTCTTTTGTCAGAGTCTAAAAGAGAATGAGAGAAGAGTTCAAATCCCACTTCCTTCCAGGAAATCTCAAAACCAGAGCAGCAAGTGGCAATCTCTGCCAGCATTCAGAATGTTCTCCAGCACGCTCAGAAAGCTGACTCGGTGGTGACAGAGAACAAGGCCACGATCGATGGCTGTGGACGTGTTCCCGATCACCCGACGGGGGCCTGGCCTCTTCTTCAGCAGCAGAATCTGTTCATTTTTATGGTTCATCATCTGGAAGAGTCACCCCTGGAGTGTCAGCAGCGGTACACTTCGCAAGTGACAGGAATCTACCCAGTCAAAAGATAACAGTGGGATTGGCCATAAAGCAGTGGGACCACGTGATTCCCCACCTCACCTGTAATCGGTCGAGGAAGAGCGGCTGCATCAAGTCCTCCCAGAACAAGAGTGGCTTCTCCAGAAGCCGCTGACATATCACGTCCCAGCTGTGATTGGTGGACTCGTGGGTGAGCAGTTCCCACATGGCGTCTCGGATCCCTGCG